GGAGTCCCTGGATCGAGTCCCGCATCGGGCTCCCTGCTTAGCAGGGAGCCTGCTTCTGCCTCTGACCCTCCCCCCTCTCATGTGCTCTCTCTCTCTCATTCTCTCTGTCTCAAATAAATAAAAAATAAATAAATAAATAAATAAAATGAAAAGTAGAGAGATAAAACCCAATTTATAGGCTCCAAAAAATACCCTTGATTAAAATTTCCCCAAAATCAGCTTCCCTTCAACATTTCTCCTTTTCTATCAATGATGGCAACAGCATCAATCAGATTTAAAGTCCTCAAAGCAGAAACAAGTCCTCACACTACCCCAATACTCAGTCTCTAAGTCCTATTCATTCTTCCTATGAAATACCTATCTTATGAAATGCCTCTCTCATAAGATGCCTCTAAAGCTGCCCTTCCATTCTCTCATGCTGCCAAGTATCTCCTTACTCCTGAACTATTCATGAGTTCATTCATTCACATTTGCGCTCATTCAGACACTTAACTAAGCACTTATTGAAGTACTGTGCTAATTCTGAATCCAAACCACCACCCTAACAGGACACAGAACATATGCACTGTTTTAATAACAGCAGCACTTTACTGGGGCCCTGCTATGTGATAGCTGCTATTCCTACACACTACTATCCCACCTAAGTCCTCAAAACAGCCCCAAGAGATGAGTATAATTATTTCCTGCAAAGCAAGGAGACTAAGGCTCAAAGAGGTGAGGTAATTTTCCTAAAATCACATTGCAAGTAAGTTGCAGAGAGGGATTCCATGGGAACTGGCTCTTTCTACCCCTTAGTGAATCTCCTGCATCAACTCCTAAATAGTCTTTCCAATTCAGTCCACCCAGTGCTATCAGATTCATCATCTCAAAAGCCACCATTTTGTACTTGTAACCCCTTTGCTCAAAAAAATCTCTATGGCTCCTTTAGCCTGACCTCCAGTACGACTTTGAGTAAAAAAAAACCAAAAAACAAAAAACAAAACCCTAGAACTGAATCCTGTCTCTCCCTTACTAGCTCTTAATCTGGGAAGTCACTTAATCTCTCTAGCCTTCAGCTTTCTTACCTATGAAATACCTATGAAATGTGGATAATAAAACGGAGTTGTATAAGGATTAAACAAGATAAAATACGTAAAGGTCTAAGTTACTAAATATTCAATAAATAGGAGTTGTTATAGTTCATAACTCCTGTACACAAAACTTCTATTTTAGCCAACCAATATACATTGCTTCACTTACAAAACCACTTAGATTTCTGCTCAATTCACATTATTCTCCCTCCTCTCCATTAAGAATAAGTATTCTAGAGGCGCCTGGGTGGCTCAGTCGTTGGGCATCTGCCTTCAGCTCAGGTCATGATCCCGGGGTCTTGGGATTGAGCCCCGTGTCTGGCTCCCTGCTCAGCGGGAAGCCTGCTTCTCCCTCTCCCACTCCCCCTGCTTGTTATTTCCTCTCTCACTGTCTCTCTCTCTGTCAAATAGATAAATAAAATCTTAAAAAAAAAAAATAAGTATTCTACAAAAGTCTCCTACAAGGATCAATGTCTGTCCCTCCTTATCTTCATAGCCCAACTCAAATGCTACATCTGCCAAAAAGCCTTGCCGTAATCATCTTCAGTGAACTTTATATCTAACTTAAATGTCACTGGGGTAAGAGGGAAGAAAAAATGCCTAATTCTTCAAGACCTACTTTGAGCCAGGAAAATATGTGATACATCTTCAATGCATTCTTTCACTTAATTCTCAGAGACAGACAAAGTAACATGGACAAACAGCTAGTAACTAATGGAGCTGAGATTCAAATTCAGATGTCCTTGATCGCTTTTAAAGCCCACTTCTTCCCATACCACCTTTTATCTTGGCACTGGAGGTTACATATTTAATCAACAACTATCCAACACTGACAAAGAGTACAGTGTTCCTATTTGCTCTAAGTAGCCCCAGCCACACATACAAACATAACTGAAACAAAACTGTCATGAAATAATGCTTATCCTTAGTGCCTGCAACGGACTCTCATTTTTCCTATTCTCTTCTATTTCACTCAAAATAAAACATTGGTGGGGGCACCTGGATGGCTCAGTCATTTAAGCGACTGACTTTTGATCTTGGCTCAGGTCTTGATCTCAGGGTTGTGCGATCAGCCCAGGCACAGAGCCTGCTTAAGATTCTCTCTCTCGAAGATGGACTCTGAAAAACAAACTGAGGGTTCTAGAGGGGA